TGGACATCGTTTGGGTTTAAATGGAATCTCCCTGTCCAATCCTATCTGAAGTCCTTTCCCCAGCAGCTCCTAGGGCCAGACTCTTCCTGCATTCTGGTTGGTCCTTCTTCTACCCTGGTGCTCTCTCTCTCTCTCTCTCTCTCTCTCTCTCTCTCTCTCTCTCTCTCTCTCTCTCTCTCTCTCTCTCTCTCTCTCTCTCTCTCTCTCTCTCTCTCCCTCACTCTCCCCAATATGAGGACTGTGTATGTGTGTGTTCACACGTATGAGTGTGCTTGTGAGTGTGGAGACCACTCACATCAGGCATCTTCCCCAATGACTTTTCACCTTCTTTTTTTGAGAGTCTCTCGATGAAACTGGGTCTTGATGATTTGGTTGGACACTTGAGCCAGCAAGCCCCAGGGGTCCTTCAAACTCTGCCAGCGCTGGGGTTATAGGTGCACATTGCCACAACCAGCCTCGTTTTTGCTTTTTAGCATGCGTACTGCGGACTGAACTCAGGTCCTCATGCTTGCAGAGCAAGCACCTTACCAACCAATTCATCTCCCCAGCCTACCTCTTAAGGTTCTCCCTCCATCGCCTGTGAGCTAAAGTCCCTCTGAGCAGTATTCAGGTGTACAGAAGCCATGGTGACTGGTGTCACCACGTCCCTGTACCCCACTCTGCTGAGAAGCAGAGGGTACACACAACAGGTCACTCCAGACTAATGAGCCAGGGGCACTTTCCATTAGGTGACTAGAGGTCCCCAAATGAAAGTAACAGACTTCACTCACAACCTGTTGATTAGAAGGCAGGCAAAGAAACACCCAGCCACAAGACAGGGCTGCTGGCTCTTGGAGGCTCCAGTCCACTGGGGAAGCACGCCTCAGTTTTCCCACACTGTGTTCAAAGTGAATGCTGATGGGGCTTCACATGATCCTGTGAGTTACATTTCTGTTACCAGGAAGGCTGTGTATAGATGTGTAGGGGTGTTTCATGCCTGCCACACAGTGTCACCTCCCTCTCATCCGGCCTGGTGGCCTTCACAGTTCTAGAATCTGGAGTGGCAGAGGAAGAATTGAAAGAAAGCCACCTGTAGTGACCCTCCAGAAGTACAGCCTCTTAACCAAAGAACCTAAATTTGGTCATAGTCCCAGAGCTGTGGCTGAGATTTGGTTCTCCTCTGGCTACAGGAGTGCTCAACCAGACACCCTGTGTGTGCCCCTGCAGTTTTATTAGTCACTTTCTCCCCAAAATAACATTCCCTCAGGCTTCTAGGGGCAGCCATGGCTTCTGTAATTTGGGCCTCCCACAGGCAAAGACCCTGAGCTACAGTTAGGAGAGACTTGTTACTTATCTGGGAGGTGAGTGGCCATCACTGGTGATGAGCAGGGCCCTGAGGAAGGAGCAGGAAAAGGCTTCCTGGAGCCACTGTGGGAAGGTGAGACATGGGTATTGAACCCAGAGGTGGTATGAGGAGCTAGCACAGGGAGGTACCCACAGGGTAGGAGAAGATACCTAGTCACCCCAGCCCAGGTGGCAGACATCTACTGCAGGACATGGAGGTTACCACAGCCAACCCTAAGTCAGAACTGCCCAGCCAGTGTTCCTAGACCCCTGGTCATAGGAACTGTGGACAAAAGTGAGTAATTCTGCTTTCAGCCACAAAGGTTGGGGATGACATATTTCTCAGCAACAGATGATGGATACAACCCAGATTTCCAGGCTGGGCAACAAGAAGGCCGAAAGCTCTCTCAGGATGGAAAGCAGAAGGTTAGGGTACACACCAGGTTTTAGGGGAGCTGCAGCAGGCAGGTGGCAACTCTGCACAGGAACCAACAGTATTTTCATCTCCACAGGACACCCCAAGGCCAGTTTCTCAAGGTCCTTGCTGAACACTCACCTTCATCACAAGAGTTTCACGTATAGAAGAGGGTGTAGATAAGTCTGGGCTCTCAGAAACTCCAAGCACTGCTCATTCTAGCCAAGAAGTCCATGGTGTCCCCTGTCATTAGAAGGCACTGGTTGCTTCTGTCCCTGTCCCCCGTCTCCTCCTTCCGGCCCCTTGTAGGATGGGCATCAGTAACTAGGCTGTTTGGAGAATCCACCAAGCTGGGCTTACTCATTGTACAAAGAGAACACACACAGTCTTACCTCATATATCTGGGTTCACCAACCTGTGAATTCAGGCCAAGAACCCTGTCCTCATGCATAGCAATAAGCCTGTCATTGAGCCTGATGTTGTAGTCCACAAACTGCCAGGAGGCATTCCTTCTAGTTTGCTACCTCCAAGAAGGACCAGTAAGCTGTTTGGTAACCACAGTCATCCAATTCTAAGATGAAAAGTTCACGTGGAATCTTCTTTTTGAGGACATAGGGTATGTAAATGACAGCTGTCCTTTGGCCCTGACACCCTAGGAACTCTCTGCTCCAGGGAAAGGTAGACATGAGAGCCTTGTTAAAGCACTGCCTGTTTGTTCGACCTTAGCTACTTTCTGCTTTGACTGTCTCCACAACAGTGTTCTCATAGCATAACCCCTGGGTCTCTGTTGGAACAGATGCATTAGAACTAAGGAAAAAAATTACAGAGCGAGTTCCCCCAAGGTGGACTATGAAAGTAAAGAATGAGTTTGAGTCTCAGAAATGGAGACTTTGGGCATGAGGGCTCTGGCTCCATGTGTTCAGAGCCTGCAGTATGGAACCAGAGCTCAGCTCCAGGAATAACTGGGCCGCTACTCCCTGCTCTCACCCAGGTACAACAAAGAGTGGTTGCAAGGACAGCGCCCTGGAGAAGTGTTTGAAGGTGACCTTGCAGAACTGATGCACTTTGTCATTCATTAACAGTTACTGACTGCCCACCATCACCACTGCCACCCTAGGGTCAACTCCTGGTTGACCACAGAGGACAAGGGAAGTGCAAACTCTGCTCCACAGTCATTACCCATAGGTGTGAACAGCGATGAGCCAGGGAAGCAGCCCGAGGAGATCCTGAGGAAGGTGACTGATAAATTAAAGTGGGCTCCTCTCCTCTGGGCTTCCGTCTTCTTGCCTCCTCCAGCTTAGCCCAGGCACACTGTGTGAAGGCTGGGATAATGACAGACAGCAGCAAACCATACCCTGATGGTCTTGGCTGTTTGGGGTTAATGCCAAGAAGGGCAATTACAGTGAATTATTTTATAGGACACTAGAGTGTTTGGGAGCACTGTTAGCTAAAATGAAACCCAGCTAATTATAGCTTAATTAATTAATTACCGCCGTCCTTGGAGGCTTCTCATTTTGAATTCCCTGAATGCTGCTTCATCTGAACATATCCATCGTGAACTCCCCATGCTCAGTTACAAGACAAGAAATGGGGGAGGAAAGTTAAAACCCAGCCTTCAAGATCCGGAAGGTAGGGTTTGAAAGAAGGGGGCCAGGTGGCAGGTGGGGGTCCTTCTGAACATGTCACAGGCTTCCAATCTCATTAAATCAGGGTCAGGATATTGTGGAAAATGAAAATCCACTCATGAGTTATCTCTGAGACTGACCCTTTGTGACTCATGGTATATGTTGGTGTTTTTAGGTTAAACAACCTTCCCTCCCATCCCCACCTGCAATACAGAAATATCACAGCTGCCCCATGCAAAGTGGGGTCAGTGAGAAAACCTAGTTTTCTAGAGATGGCCTATGAGGATGAGTTAAAATATTACACAAGAGAATGGGTTCTGCCTTTTATGCTCCTCTGCTACTTGGGATTAACCCTCCTTGGCATTAGTCAAAGTTCCAGGGGATCATGCGTCTTGGTGACATCCCACTCTATCAGCCCAGTGAAAGATGTGACTCAGGCACTACCTTCATGATGCTACGACTGAATTACGTAGCACTCCCCACTTCCTGCTTCAAAGAGCCCGCAGCCAACCAAAAGAATCTGAACACAGGTACTTATGCAGCAGATCTTGGACAGGAGGCTTCTGGAACTAGTTTGGAGGTTCCCTGGTACTGACACAGGCTTCTCTAATCACCCCTGGGATTCCCCGACTCCTGCCTCTAAGACACCCCGTGCAGAGCTGGCTCCATAGCCACATCCCCAGGCAGGAAGGAAGACTTATGTCTTTCACAGTAGTCTCATGTCTTATCAGAGAGCTAAATCCCTCCCCACATTCTCCCAGAGATGCCAAAGACCTTCCTGTGACACTCACTATCCCCAAACCATCCTGTGTTGAGTCTCGGCTGTGGGAAGGGACAAGGAAGGGAGGGATTAAAGAAGCTCTTATAGGGTCTGCCACAAAGTACTGAAGCTGACCCCACATCCACTCTCCACATTCCTGTCTATATCATGACCCCCTCCCCGCCCAAATATGAATCTTACTAAACCAATGCCTCACTGTGTGACCAAGTACTCTACCACAAAGATCACTTTTACCAATGGATGAATGTTACCAACTTCAGCTATGGCAGGTTTGGGAGACAGTCGGGAATCAAGCATGCCATAGCACATTTTGACTCATTTCTGAAGAATGACGTCAGGAGGGTTCTGGGATGCATTTAAAAATCTTATGCCCTACTTTCCAGAAATGAGAACTACAGTTTTCTTTCCCACACTTCTGTTGGGCAGCAGAGGTTAAAATATGGCTTTAGAGAATTGTTATTCAAATAAAAACAGTACCATTGTTGAGTAGGTAGGATAGCCCTGGAGATGTGAGCTTCACTCACCACTGGCATACTAGTTCCAATACCCAGACCCCACGTTAGTGGTCTCATTAGCTACTTCTAGTCTTGGCTATTTCCTTGAGACAGAACAGAATGGGGGCTTTGCCTCCCTTGCTGTGTGGGGAGCAGTGGCGAACACCAGACACATCTTCAACAACCTGGTGCCCAGTCATAATGGGGACAAATGCTGTCCACCTTTAGCCTCGTCTGTATTGACAAGTCCTCTCCGGAATCAGGAGAAGTTGAAAGTTGGGAAGCAGCCAAGCTGAACCCATCCCTTACCATTCTTTCCAACTTACTCACTGTCCCTTCCTTTCTCTCCTCTAACTCTATAGACGAACAAAGCTGTGGCCAAAGGAGACTTCCACCAGGCCAGCACCAGCTCCCGGCGGGCCCTCTTCCTGGCAGTGCTATCTATCACCATCGGAACCGGCATCTACGTGGGTGTGGCCGTCGCCCTCATTGCCTACCTCTCCAAGAACAACCACCTATGAGCTTTCTGCAGGCTGGTGGGAAGGGGAGGAGCTGGGCCAGGTGTGCGAGGGCAGAGAAGAGACACACCTGCGTGATACTGTACAGTACAAGTTGCCAAATGACTCCACCATGCCCTGGCATCTTCCACTCCTGGATTCCTGTTGTTTTTAATCCCTCCACTTCATCTTCAGCACTGTGCAGAGCACCAGGCAGCCGGCACTGCTGATTCTTCCACCTGGAAGCGCCAAAGATTCCAGCCCGGTGGCTGACCCTGGATGGATTCTGGTGGATCGATGACAACCCAGCTCTGCAGCCTGCCAGTGCCTGGACCACCACCCCATTAGCAATATACAAACTGTTAAAAATGGGTTTATTTTTATGGAATATGGTGCAATAGGCAGAGGTCAGGGGACAGGTCACCATTAGCTGTGGCCCACTTGAGTCCTCTGCATCTGTGTGGCTTTCCTGACGGAAGCAAGTGCGGCCAAGAAGGGAGAGGAAGCACCTGCTGGGAAATCTGCTGTCTCTATCTGCCTGTGAGTGCAAAGCTAGAGGAGCATAGCGCCCACCCGGCCCTGCTCACTCCCAGCACGCTGCCCCAGCTTGGAGCCTCAGGCCTTCTGCAGGCCTCCTGCAGCTGCCCCAGCAATACGCAATCCTGGGGACCCATTGGTCTAAACCGGGAGGCAGGCCACAGCCCCTCTCAAGAACGAGCCCAGCATTTGCCCCAGGAGCCTGATGGAAAGGAGCTATGAAGACACGTGGGTGTTTCACTCTTGGATGCTCACCCTGGTCACAAGCAGTGACTCCTGTGACCTGGGAAACAAGATGGGCCTTACTCTGTCGACTAAATGAATGGCTATTTTCTTGTCATTTTTTTAACTGCAACTCTTGCTTCATGCTGCTTCAGTTGCCAGATGAATGCTGATAAATAAGTAATCACAGATGTTTTAATACCATGTCATCGCTGTTTTACGAGTGTTCATTATTTAACAAAAATTATCTTTTAGCTTATTTGCTTATGACTTTTCTTTCTGATGAATGGTGATGGTTGGTTTTCATTTGATAGTGTACTTGGTTTTTAGCTAGTGGCAGAACCAGGCAAGACTTAGATGATGTGGCAGGGTGGCAAAAATTACACAGCCGTGGCTACCAAATGTCTGTCTTGAGCATCCCAGAGGACTCAGAGACCCTATCTGGAGTTCCTCCTGTGAGATTTAAGATATTCCAGATGCCTGAATTCCTGGCATAACAGCCCCAGAAATCCTGATTTGACTAGTTAGGGACACAGCCTGGTGATTTCAGCAAGCAGCACAGGTAAGAACCACAGCTTGAAATCAGATAAGAAACTTAGTCTCTCACACCTGCCACTCTCTACTATGACCTTGAACTTTTATGTTTTAAATTATTATCACTGTCTTCCTAAGTCAAATCTACCATTTGCCTCAAATAGTCTAAAATATGTTCTAAGACCTTAGCCCTAGGAAGAATTATATAGAAGCTACTCAAACACCCCCATGAAAACTAACTAAGCTGGCCAATAGAGACTGTGGGATTGAGGTCCAGCCAGGCTAATTTCTCACTGGGTGATCTTGGACAAATGTCTGCACATCTGTGACCCTTGTCTCTGGGACAGGATAATTGAAAAGACTCACTTCATCAGATGCCTGGGGACTTACTTCCTGAGGCCCAGCGATGGGTGCAGGCAGGTGTAATAATTAGTGTAGTTATGGTTACTGCCAGTATCCTTTGTAGGCGATCTCATAGCTTACTTGTATCTTTCCATCTTTCAGATCAAATACTCGGGATTTATGCATCATGAACCATTGTATAAAATGTGATGTTTTGTATCTGTTCTGAAATGATCCATTTTAAACTCAAGGGATGCCCAAAGTGGCATGTCTTTGGATTTGGGAAAGAGGTAGAACCAATCTTGCCAGGCACTTTAAGTCACTCATGCTATTCCATCTGCCCATCTTGTCCCAGCGGTCTTTTGAGATGGAAAAGTCTTTGTTCACAAGGCTTCTGCCCTTGCTACAGCATCTCAAGCTGAGTATTTCCCCAGGATCGGAGACAAAGATCATTCAAGCCACCATATTGGTCACGACAGTCACAAGTTGTACATGTAGCATGTTTGGTGGACAGAAGGTAAAATAGTGCCATGAACAGCTTGGCCTTGGTGACTGCAGGGAATGTGTCTAAATGTCATTTTCAGTGGTTCTGTTAATGTCCGCTAAGGAGCAGATCAGTCTTCTTGTGACTTGCACTGGAGCCCCTTCCCCTGGTACATGGACACAATCTCAAATCATCTTCCTAACCCTAGAAAGAAAGGACAAGAACTAAAGTTCAGAGAAGGGGACACACTCAACACCACAAACGTAGGCAGGTGGGGTGGGAGGTCAGAACCACGTCTGCACAGTCCCAGCCTGGCTCCCCGCAGATGACAGAGTGCTGTTGTTGGCACGTGTACCCTTGCCATCAAGCCAAGGGGAAAGTGTGTGTTCCACTCTAGCTCAATCAAGTCTTATAAAAAGCCACACTCACAACCATATTGCTGGCAAACAGAAACTCAGAGAACATCATCTATTTCCCAAAGTCCTACACCTAGGAAATGGTGAAGCCAAGTAGCAGCCCCAGGAGCCTCAGTTTTGCCCATGCCTTATGTCTCAGCTACTCTACTAAGCAAGGAAAATGACCCAAAACACTCTGCCAGTAAGACAAGGTACTTACAAGCATGTGGGGCCTTTGGGCTTCCCTTTTGTAGGTTGTCTTTTCCAGCAGATTGATAGAAGAAATTTAGGGAGAAGGATGAGGAGACCTGAGATGATGTCAATGGAAAATGGGGTATTTGAGAAGGCTTTCCTCCTGCAGTTGCCCCCACTTCCTCCTTGGAGGTGGACATGGCACACCTCTTTCAACTCCCTTTTCCAGATCATCCCATTGCTCCATCTTTAGCGATGACCATAGTGCACTCCTTCATCTCTCCCTTCTTTGTGATTTTCTTGATATCGTGACTTTACCAGGTGTCCTCAGCTCACAAAGTCTCCCACCTCATGAAGTATCTTCCTCTCACCAAGAATCTATCTTGACCACACTAGGTGTCCCTCCTCACCAGATGCCTCACCCACCTACCAGATACCATATCTCATAAGGAGGTTCCACAGTATCAGGTGCCCTACTTCACCTAGAGTCTCCTCCTCACCAGGTATTCCAACCACAATGGAATTCCTCCCATAGCAAGTCTCTGGACTTTAACAAGGGACCCATTTCATGGGGTATCTCCAACTTACTGAGTATCTCTACCCTACGAGTACCCTTCCTCACTGGGTGTCCTCAATAGTAGAACGCATACCAGCGTACTTAAACCAGATACCTCTGTTTGACCAGGTATTCCAACTATCCTCACAACTGTGCAACAATCCTGGGAACTGATAACAGAGGCTACATCTATAGGTCCTTGAAACTTGGGTAGCTGACCAAATTCCTACATATAGACCACATAGATAACTAGGATAACACAAGCAGCTGCTTCCAAGCTGTGGCAGGACATCCCTCAAACCTGGCCAGATCTCTGCCCTCTGAAAGTACTAGAGACCATCCGGCATGCAGAATAGCCTCTGCGTATACTTAATGTCAGTGGACACCCTTCCCCTTGCCAGAAACTGTTTTTCTTCCTAGATGTAGATGTTAGATGGTTACCACAGCTCTGGCCATGGGCCACACGTGGCCTAAATTTCAGGGCTAGCCTCACTCTTGAGTATTTACAGAGTTTCTTTGAGGCATTGGGTGGACTCATTAAAATTCCAGCCCCTTGTGTGTTTCTACCTGCATTCATTGCAATGGGCATTGACACCTGTTGACTCAGCATACTGATAAACCATGAAGGGTCAACTCTGAGCCTGAGGCAAGGTGAGCTCTGGGAAAGTGGAGCAGCCCTATCTCCTATGAGGGGCAGGCCACCCATCTGCTCTGCTCTCCCACATTGGGAGTATCAGATGAGCCAGAAGAGATGGCCAAGGTTGTTAGGTTCCCCCCAGTTCATTGCCTCTCTGGACTTCAGAAGAATCCAACTACTCAAGGGGCAGAGGATCAGGGGCTTTTGCTGTCTTGAGTTTATCTGCTTGGCCTTGCAAGGCAAAGAAGTATGCTAAACCCATAGACACCTGGGGACCGCAGATAGCTGATTCCCTGCCAAACAAGCTTGTAAATGGAGTAATGAATATGTCAGCCTGCTGGGCATCCCAGGAAAAGGTCAAAGCTCTGTGTGAAGAGTGGCAGCAGGAATGGGAGCTGCTGGCTTGCACTATAGGTAGGGCTTGGGATCCTAGGGCACTGCATGTCCCTACAGAGATGAAGCACGGGACACAGAGGCTGCAGCCTTGGAGTGGGCTCCAGAGCAGTGAGGGAAAGAACAGCTACGGGGACTCATGGCAAAGGAACTCCCTCAGGGCAATGGCAGATGATGGGCAAGAACATGGTGCCTTCTGGAAGAGGCTCCAGGTTGGAGACATTCCCAGAGGATGGTGCTGGCCTGGGCTTCCTAAATCTCAACAATGGCAAGAGGGACAACTCAGGGTCACAGGTAGAACCTGTGTCTACTTGAAATGCAAACTGGCAAGCACGCTGTGTTCCAGGAGGAAGGACAAGAGCTAATTCCTCTGGGTCTTATCACTGCTGCTGCTGCTGCTGTCATAGTTTTCTTGTCTTTGTTTTTGAAAAAAAAAAAAAGCAGTAGGCAGAACAGACTTCTTAAAGAAAGGCTTGGAAGACCAGGTGACAGCAAGATGCAGGGCTGAGGTCCTGGTGTTGGCATTGGGTATCATCTCCTCCTCCTCTCCACAGGTGCCCTCTGTGAGGGTGCTGCCCACATTGAATGAGGGCTGCCCCACTGCTAGGACAATGCCCTACTCTAACAGTGTTGCTGGCTCATGGAGGCACCAGGATCTACCCTGACACTCCCTGACCACACTTCCGGAGACTCCATGGGAGACGGAATTTGCTGAAATGTGAACCCACGTGAGCTGTGTAGGATACTTTGAGGTGGGCTGCATGTAGGCTATTTCAAGGTGGGCTGCATGTATCTTCCCAAACTCTGTGACAATTTGATTGTTTAACACCAGACCTTCACTGTCACCATGCTAAAGCCACTTATGAAGAGTTTCAAGAACAGTATTGTCCTGACCCTCACCAAGAGCCTCACTGGCATTCACTAAAAGAACCTTCTTTGCCTGACTTGTATTTGTCTCCACTGGCTATGTTCAATTACCTCGGCAGAGACACAGGCCCCTAGGCTCCCATACTTACTTCTGAGCTAATGCCTTGGGCTATCTGCCTCCCTCCATATCAGGCTTAGCAGTGACTGCCCCCTGAGTCACAGCTTCCCATAGCTGCTACACCCAGGCCTATAGACCTTACATGGGTGTATCTAGCTCCAGGCTATTCAATAATAGTCTCTTTAGCTAAGTACTACATCCAGTCTCTTCTCTCACACCCAAGCCCTTTGTTCTAGCACAGTATGAGCTCAGGCTTACCCCTATCTAGGCTTGAGAGAAGGGCCCACGTATCTGCCTAACACACATACAAGCATTAGGAAGTTAAGATAATAAATTCTAGATACTGTGCCAGGCACTGTGGGAATGTCAGAGACCACAGTCCCTGTGGCCCCCAAGACACTATGCTTTGCTTTTCACTGAAATCAGGTCATCTAGGACCAATCTGAATTTAAACCTACGTAGAGGGGACTGATATTATATCCATATATCTGTGCATGAGGAGTGGAAGTGACAGTCAGGACCTGCATGCAGCTCACAGAGCTTTGTTTATATTTGTGACATACGAGTCCAACTCATGACTCAGTCAATAAGAAACAGAAATTTAGGTCTGTTTCTACCACACCAGATTCCATCTTTAGGTTCAAATTATTTTATTTAACAAATCGAGATGTATAGGTGGGCCAAGATGCTTGGAATTCCTCTAAGTCACATGAACTAACATCTTCATCCCCTGGTTATAGTCCACATATAGTTTAACTGGTATCTATTTGCCCTGGCTAGTG